CTTGACAGACACGCTGTTCTACATCCTGGTATCCCATGAGGGATGGAGGGGGTTTGTGGAGGGGGTGGGGTGTTGGGGGGGGGCTGCTCTACTTTACATTCATGTGTGTACTGCAGGGTTATGTGAGGAATTCACATTGTTTTTAGTCTTTTCTTGTCTGCATGCCGCCTGTGGGAAAATTCAAATCAACTTGCTCCTAATTAGTTGTTGGTCTGTTTCACACAGAGACACTGCATGCCCTGCATATAAGGTGGTAGAAGTGTCAGGTGTTCAACCTCACTCCACTGTCCGGGTTTTACGCTATTTCCTTGAAAAGCGACCCCCATCCCGCTTCAGGTACTCTCTTGGAAACCGGAAAATTTCTGGGCCGCTTTATTCCATGTTGGTGATTTTCACACAGAACGCAGAAAAAGGCTGACATTTTATGGCTGTAACAGACAGTGTGAAAGGGGATATTGAGAAGCGTTACTTATGTCAACATGCCGTGTGTTTTCTCCCAAGGCATCCAGAAGATGTGAGGTACGTTGTGGGATGCGAGCCTCAGAGCTGCCAGAGGAGGAGGGGGGCCGCAGCAGAAGCCTGGAGGCCAGATGAAAAAAAACAAAACAAAATGGGGTAATTTCACGCACCATTCGAAGAAGAAATGACACGCTGGCTGTTAGTTAACAAACTGATCCCTTTACTTTGCAGGCCCGATGACTGTAACTGTGATGGACCCTGGGGAAAGCCATGCCAGACGTGAGACCTCCCTCGAGTAACCCCTTGGCGATGGAACCCTGCGTCTCCCACCTCCTGTCCAGCGCCCCCCTTCCCAGCTTCCCCCGGTACCGAGGCGCTACCATCTATCGTGGACCTCAGTGGTTCCCGCTTGCGTCCCGGTGTAACAGCAGCACCTTGCTGTCCAATTTGAGACATTGCCCTGGTCAAAAGGGGCCCCCAGACACTGTGCCGGGACGTTCTCTCGATGTTCCGACGGCGGGCAGGCTGTACCGGAGCATGGAAAACTTGAACTGGAACCCAGTTCTGGATTCAGGTCTGTGCTCATCCAGTGAATTTATTGTGGGCTACACGGCCACCGGCCACTGGTACGACGGGCCCCCAGATGGGTCCAACCTGGAGAGCCTGGAATACTACCCCCAACATAGTCCCCGTAGGAAGGATGTGCCCAGTTTCCCACAATTGCTTTTCCCCAGTGGGATGGAGGAATGGGACGCCAGGAAAGGTCTGCGGGAAAAGCTTCGCCTCCAAAGTGCACGGTCAGCAACGGAGCCTCCGAAGACCCAACCCCTGCGACCCCCGGACTCCTTCCCCATCGAAGTGAACTCGGGGTGTCGGCCGGTGGGCGGCATGCGTCTGACCTGTCCCCAGGAGATTAAACAGGAAGTCCTGAGGAGACTTGAACTGCGCCGGCAGAACAGCAGCCCCAACCTGGCTCTCCACGGGGCACCGAGTAGTCCAAAATCGCTACCGGTGTTCCAAAGGGCGGTTCCCATTTTGGGCGGGGACAACGGACACCGGCAAAGCGTTTCCACGGGCCACCTGTATATCCCCACCTTCGAGGAGTTCAAGAGGATGAGGATGAAGGAGCGGAACCAGGAGTCCGCAGCAGGTTCTGAGGACTCGGGTCTTCCCGCCTCTAAGACCGGAACGGGTTCGCCGATCCGCACAGGCCCCTCTCCAAGGACCCCACTGCAAGCTTCAAGTCAGGGAGAATCCAGTGATAATGGGCGGCGTAGGAGGTCCAGTCTGGAACCAGTCGGGTCGGTTCTGTTCCCACCCGGGAAGAACCACAAAGGGCGGCCCTCCAGTTGCTGCCCTGCGCTGCTCCTGGAGGGAACGGACCTGACCAGCTACGGGGCCAAGATCTACAAAATGAAGGACGGCCTCATTGGCTCAGCTCTGGACCTCATAAAGAAGAGGTAAACCGCCTCCATATCGATATATCAATATTGCAGACTCAGACTGTATTGTCTAATAATATTGTACATTGTAATACGATACATCATATTTCATTCCTTGTGTACTGATAAAATACAACAACGATCGGTATAAAAAAAAAAAACATGATACAAAACATCCAGACCAATCTTTGTCGCTTATATATCAAGACTGTCTCATTCAGCAATGCCTATCGAAAATGATACTTGACGCTTTTGTATTGATACATCATGTTCGTGCTATTGGACGAAGCCACGCATCACGAAATCGATGTCACCCTCGTTCGATGCTGTACATAACAATATCGCTATCAATGTGATGCATCAAAATACAATTTTTTGGACGCCTGTGTCTCAATACTGTACCAAAAAGGACATGATTCCATTCTTCACTTTATCATATTTGATGCTTGGCAGTGTACTATTAAAAAAAAA